TTGGCACAGACATAACAGTAACAATAGATGTACGATGTAGTTTGACTGTGAAACGTTTGTATATTACATTGCCACTTGATAAGCCCGACACATCAATCATTCCAGTTTGTGTGTCCTCGCCGTTTGGTCTTGTGCAAACCTTCATCACAGGTCGTTGCGGACCGTATCGTATTTGTGTATCAAGATCAACCAAAATAAGGGTTTTAACATTGAAATTTAAAGTTGATTGCATCGCAGTGTACTTTGTGAGTTACTATATTCTTGGCCCTCTGTAATCAGGACAGTTTCTGGCCGTTCCGGTTGTCTGTATAATCACTGACAGCAAAAGACTTGTCACATATTTACTCTTATATTGTCAACTTTCTGCAGATTGACGATGGTTAATCTTCGATGACTCCTTGAACACTTTTCATGGGGATATAATGATGCGTGTGCTGAGGGTTATTTGCACCTGTGCCAATGAAAAAAGATGGTGCCAGTTGTCTGGCATCACAGTACAAGGCGTGCTTTGCTTGGAGCACTGGTTGGCATATAATCAGTGAATGTTCTTCCTCGAGTGACGCCTGTTCGATTCGATACGTGCTTCTAACATATTTTAATATTCATCAGGACATTATTGAGGTTCGGATTTTCCCCCTAGTTTTCTCTCCCTCTGTGTCCTATATAGGACATGAGAGGAAACGTCTCATAGTAAGACAGAGAACACGGCGCTCAGGAACTGGAGAGGTACCCCGACAACATGAACATCCTTCCTATTCCCGTGTTCGGGAAAACAAACCCACGGCCAAACTAATGCTATCTCTTTGCCGTCTTCATTATCGTGTTAGCCCCGTTCACCTTTTCAATTTAGGTTTCATTTGAAGGTTCCGTCATTGCTGGGATTCGCAGCTGGGGAGACCCCAAGCATTTCCAGCTCCTGAGGAGAGGTTGATGGGCTCACATCTCCTACCGCAGCAAACGCACAGGGCTGGGACAGCATGTCGATCAAAATACATGACTGCACGCTGCAAAAGCTTAAGTGTTTACGAACTGTGGATGGAACAAAATCCCCTTTGAAGTCTGTTAAATTTTGTATCAGCACAGGCCTAAAGGAAAGGTGCAGCCCTAGTATACTGCGCTAAGTCAGGTGCGAACCTTTACGCGAATTTGGGACGTCACGGAAAGCATTCTTGCTGCAGATATAATAACACCTGATAGAGCTGAAACTCCAGCTGACTTTCCGACCCAAGTGGCGTCGTGACATCGAATTTGCGTTCGCTTTGGTGCAGAGCGTGACCCGGCCTTTATTATTTCTAAAAAGGGAGTAACATAAGGCGAGGATTGAGATTACAATATTTACTTGCTTCCCTTTCCCAAGGAAGCAATTTCACGACCTCAACGGCAAGGGATGTGATGCATGTGCAGGGTGGTCCGAGGAATTATGTTCCGAAACATAATTTCTGAACATCTGAGTCATATTTGACAGTGGCAATTGTTCTAAATTTTGACAGCAGATGGCATTTTTGACCTTTTTCATTTCTAGTTTAGTTTTATTCCACAAAGAAAAACATACTCGTGGTGAGGACCATGTGGTTTATGTTATAGCATTGGGTGTTATTTCCAAGAGTGATACAGAGTGTTTTCTTATCCAGTGAGTGAACCTCCTCCAGAATTTATTTACGGCGGAATGGTGAGAACTAAAGTGCTTCAGATCTCCTTCAATAACTATGACCCCCTTCGCAGTGAATTATGTCCTCAATTGCTCCGGTACTAAACGGTATGCCACACGTGAGAGAATGTCGAGGGATGGATGAACGTTTAAAGTGTACATGTAATGTACGTGTACATGTACTTGGTAAGTAGGTATGCACGACCGTGTTGAGCTGAAAGACGTCTCGATGCAAATGTCGATTGTGCACGCACTGCTCTGAGAATGTCCAGTTGAATGTTTTTCTTAAAACAAAATAATGCTATTTCAATGAAGTGTCCGAAGAGCTATTAGTACTTGTATGAAATGTGTTGGTGTTGTGGGGTGATAACGATGGTGACCCTTGAGATTAACCTTAATAAGGTGTACATAAAATCATTGGAATCGCTTCAGAGGACTGAGTACTGAGAAGGTCAATTTGCACAACCGTATTTTTTAATGGGTTGCCAAGGAGGAACATGACTCATTAACGCTGGTGCGAATGTGCACTTTTCTGAACTGTAATTTCGGGATAGGTTAAAATGAGTAGCCTGTGAATACATGACTTACAGTAAGTAGCCTTGCCTCCTTAGGACTGTAGCCGTCGCGACATCCTTCTGGAGTAAATCAACCGCCGCATGGTATTCTTCAAATAAGTGAAGAGGGTGGAGTGCTTCATACGGAAACTATCTATTTAGTCTAGGAAACACCAGTGGGAGAAACTGGATCACAGCTGATGACAGGATTCATTCCGTGTCTTGAAGGAGACAACCGGACAACTGTCTCCCTCGCGTGTTTCAGGTGGTGAGTGGACGCAAAAGGTCGAGTTCGTGGCCTCACTTGGGAATACCTTGTAGCGCTGTTCGACAAAAACGGGATTTGGGTGTTTTTAACGTGTTTACGGGTTACTGTGAAGCTTGCTCGCTCCTTTTTCTCATGACATGGAATGATTTCGAAACTTTCTGTTCATCCTCCGGGGAATCAATTAAGATTACTGAGTGAAACTGGGAATTCAATTCGTTTGCGAGGGAGTTTTATGACTTCTGGTCACAAGGACGGATCCACAACCAAATATTCGGGAGGCCATGCTTGTTTTCGAGGGGGGGGGCAAAACTTTTGAGTTTTACATGTATTCTTTGATGGCCTTTAGCGGTCGAGGCTATTAAGGCTTTACACAAGCTTGTTGAAGGAAGGATATAAAATTATGTTTAAAAAAGTTCCTTTTGGGGGGTAGGGCTTGGATTCGTTGGTCCCCTAGATCTGCCCTTGTTTGTCAGCGAACATTTTGACACAAATGCCAAGGGGAATATTTCTAGCCTGTTTCTGGCAAACGGCCAACACTTTATGTGCAACTACTTATACAAACGTTCCTTTGCCCTTTCACCGTGAATTCCCCTGTAATCAGTTCATTTTGTGAAACTTCTGATTTCATTCAATTTCTGGATAAATGATTTCTTTAGAAATCAACAGGTGTCTTAGATAACATTTTTTTACTTGCCAATGGCTGCTTTTTCTGCCGATAGAATCAAACTTACGGTTTATTTTTCATTATAGAGTTAAATAAATTATACGTCTTAATTGTCTTTCCCATTACTCTTTTATCTGTATCTCAGTAAAGAAAGAATTATGTTATCACTGTTGTTTACTGAAGGGGTTCAGGGATTCGCTCCTATTACTGCCTTTACACAGCACGGCGATACGCTAATCCCTTTCTGCAATAATGTTACTGTGAAGGAAGCACAGACGTCACGCAGCATTGTGGGTTAGCTTCTGCTTTATTTTTAATAAGTGCTCAGATATACAGGCACACCAGCCACACGAATATAGGTATATAGAAGAGTTCAACCGCGTAATTTCACAAAATAAATATCATAAAAGGGCACGAGTAAATTGCTACAAGTGTGGTGAAAAAGTCAGGCCATCTCAGCCGATGAGAGTTTACATTAGAGGTACTGGTGGAGTAGGGTACGTTTCTCCACTCTACTCCATCATGTTTTAGTAGGCCTAATGTACAAGCCCTGATTATGTCAAATTTCGATATAACCATGTTCCTCATACCTCAGATAATGTTTCTCTCCGTTATAACAAATTTTAACGTCGTGCGCTCCATCATGTTGGTAGTTTTTCTGCTGGGAAAATGCAAAAACGGACGGACAGTCTCTAGAGCAAAAATATATCAAACGCATTAACCCGTGGTCGACCCCATCAGGCGTGCAGAAATTCAGGTTTTTACCATAACCCAGATTTTTGTGATTTTTTCCTATTGAATTACGGCATTCAGTGGCAGGCAGCCGTGTTGGTAGTGAAGCTAGTTTGCTTTTCATTTTGTTGAAAGGGGAAAATGACTGAGGGGCCCCGATCATTGAAACTTTTTTTATGTGTTTTATTCGGATTGTGTGCCAACCGGACAGCAAAGTAGTAAAAAGACCCAAGAGTAATCCAGTTTCACAGATGTTCTTGCCATGCTGGTCCAGAAATTGACTTCCCTGGTTCTTGTGTCAGAGAGGATAATTGGCTGCACAGCGTCTGAGCCACTGCCACTGTAGCTCATTCTGTCGTACAAAGTTCATCACAGATTTACGTTAATTCGTGGAATTGACATAGAATTATACTGCACCACCATGTCATGAAACAAACATCTTATTTTTACAAGCAGGCTTTCTATTGACTCAGATAATTCTGCCAAGCATGTATCGAGTCGATTTACTTGTGTCCATCATACGCGACTAGTAAACCTTGCGGCTTGCCGAACAGAATAGGTCTGACCGACAATCAAGAAGTTGAGACTCGTGTTAAATTAATGAAGATTTGTCTAACAATCATTTATTCGATTGAAATTCAGGTCTGAATATATCAGCATCATGGTTTTCACTTGATAGTGTTTTACAACTAACTATCGAGTAACTCAGGCTATTGTTCAGTAACTGAAATTTTTCGTATAGTGATAGAGGGTCCAACAATTGCCAAAGTGACGCTGCAGACACGAACTTGAGTAGTGACGTTAGCAACGTTGGCGTCATGAGGGTGGGGGCGTTTCCCCCTTTAAAAACGAAAAATAAAAAGAAGGAAAATAAAACTGACACAAATAAATGAAAAGGGTTAAAAGTCACCAATTTGCTTGATAAAAAACCTCGTAATTGGCCCCCTTCCACTGTTACGAGTGTTAACCGATGATGAGAGTGCCGATGATGAAATCCCCTATCCTCAAAGAGTGCTTTGCCATCCCTCTGGCTGTGTCCATGATCAGGAGCAAAATATTTAGGAGGACACACAAACAATATTCCCACCAATTCAAATTTACAGTGGACTTTCTTTCTCTTCTCTTACTGCACAGAAACGGGGCCTGAGCAGACCGCCCGTTCTTTCCTACTGGGGCAACTGGGGTTCATGGTCGGCCTGCTCAAGGACGTGTGGGGGAGGGGTGGCCGCACAGAGCAGGGTCTGTTTGATGAGGAGCAGAGGCGAAGGGTAAGATGTGTTGGGGGAAAACGGGGACGGTGTACACCGCAGTAGCCGAATCGTCAGGCGATACCTCACACAAATGATTATTTATTTTTATTTGCAATGGAACGTCAGACTTTTGTCAGATCTGAAAATTCACGTGAGATATCCTGTGATCATAAACACTCTTTTACGTGAATACATAGGCCCTCTATTAAAAAAAATCGAATAGAGTAATTTGAGAACAATTCTGTGAACACTTTTGAAAAGACAAGACACGAATACAGCCTTGCCGTGTTAGTTTTGTGTTGCTGATAATTTTAATGATTGTTAAAAATGACGATGTGTCATTCAATCTCAAAGGGACTGGACAACGATGAGATAAAGGGATGACAGCGTTTGACATTTGTCATGATGGTGATGGTGATTATGGTGACAAAAGGCAGGTTAAGTTTTACCAAAAGGCTCAACAGCCCCCTCCCCATGCCGCCCACAATCGCTCAACAGGTTTTATCAACAGTTTGGCTTTGCAGCTTCACACTCTCTAAAACCCCTTGGAAATTTTACTTAATCCAGGAATTGCCGATTGATTTACCTACCTCTCCTTGGCTGATATCAAACCCGGGTTTGATCAACTCTGGAGACTAGATAAGCCTCGCGGGAGACGTCGAAAATGTCAAGGAAACTAAAAGATGTGGCACCTTTAGCTGAAGACCCTATATGCATTCCTTTTTCTGTATCTGATACACCTTTCCTTCGACACCTGTTGCAACTTCCAACTGCAAAATGAAAGTAGAGGAGAAAACACCGCCAGAAAGAGGAAGATGTACGGAACGATTGCACTTTTTCACTAATGCATTGAAACATCAACGAATGTATTTTTCATGTTGATACACTATTTTTAGATTGTTATTGACTCTTATGAGGTCGTCCGGCGAACATTCGGCTCTTTACACTGGTATTTGTATAAAGAAGAAAAAGTTCATAGTCTCCACTGCTATTGGTTTGTATGGATTTCGAGAGGGACATGATTGGAGCTGCCACGTAATTTCTTGATGTATCGTATTGTTTGAGAGGCTTCTTGCTGTGCACCCTCGCCGCCTTCTTGATTCGTTGTACCTAACAGTGGATCAAGCCTTTTGTTGCACATCCACCGTTCTAAACGGTGCTTACCTCTGTCGTTTTTGATGGAGAACCCTTTTTAAGTGCTCTCAAAGTGATTCCCCTTGCAAACGAGACTAAACTCGGCTCACTCCATTGGAAATCTGCATTAGTGGTACGATTGCGTGGGCCTGTTTAATGGACGAGCGACCTACTTCAAGTGTAATTCCACTTCACCCAGAACGGAAGAATCTGAGTGGCACCGAACATGGGTCAGAACTCTGCCGAATAACTCAAAGCATATGGCGCCTTTCGGATGTGTGCTTAATGGTACATTTAGTCGACGGAATGGCTTGGAGGAGCTGAAGTGATATCGATTTTCAAAGCGTTTTCAGCGTTGACGGATGATTTCCACAATGGAAACCACGGCGAGATTTAAATGACGACAGAGTGCTGCGTAGCAACCTATTGATGTTGTAACTGAATCTTTGCTCCAGAGCCGTCCTACGTGTATTTTCTTTTCTTTTTTAAGCGTATGATAACGGTTACCGTTTCTTTCTGCATACCGGGCTGTGTACCGGGCTGCGACAAGATGGTTTAAGGAACACAAGCTTATTGTGTCTTTGTCAATATTGTAGACCAGGTTGGTGTGTCCCATTCTGAACACTATTTAGACACGGTATCTGCACATTCCTTTGGACGGGGAGTATTGAAAAAAAAATTGAACAATCTTTTAGAAAGATGCTCAGTTTGCCCCTCCCTCGGAATCCAATTTCAGTGTGGATACACCACTGCCATGACACTTATAGCAAGGACATGGAGTGTTTCACTTCGCTTTGGAACTCAAGCCACGCATGTTCGATCACACTCTAGGTGATGCCTGCATTGCCATGTCGCACCTTACTTGTTGCAGCAAATATCGAGAGGGACAACTCGTCCACACACAACAACAGCATCTAACTGAGTAAGTTCCCATCAAAAGTGCCGAACTGAAATGGACCGGCCGAACGTACGGCCTCAGGCGAAATGGGCGCGGCATGTTTACTTATCTCGCGGATAGCTCAATACTCAACCTGCTTCCTAGGCTTTGTATCTCCACCACTGTCCAGCAGTGTCATCCGTCTTCCATCGTTTGCCCTTTTAATGGCTTTACCGCGTAATCTCTCCCTTTCACCCCTCCTAGGCGAATCACGTAATACCTCTTGGCCTTTCCTAGTCACTCCCAAGCCAGACATCTCTACTCGCCCGTTCTTCCCCTTTTAGACATTCTGTCACCAACCCTACCTTCATGTCACGCCCGATCAGTGGCGTAATTTGTGGTGGAGATTGAGGGATGGTGATTTGGCGGTGGTGGGGGGGGGGGTGACTTGCCCCTGGCCATGGAATTCAAAAAGAACGGCGGGGGGGGGGGGAGCGGNGGGGGGGGGTGACTTGCCCCTGGCCATGGAATTCAAAAAGAACGGCGGGGAGGGGAGCACTGGCACTATAGGGGGGCGATGTTTATGATATAGATGTATATCTGTAATATGTATTACATTTATGCTGAATCTTACATTAGAATGGCATAAGGGCTGTTTTTGTTTTCTCTCTTTTTTTTTTAGTGCTATTGAATACATTGCACTTGTTTGGAAGTCCGACAATTTCTCCACGATCCCCTTTACGGTTTTGCTCACCACAAAAAGTGGCAAGGCGATTCAATAGCCCCCCCCCGCAGAAGTGTGGGGGTATAGTTATACCCCACCCCCCAGATTTACGCCCATGCGCTCTATACTCTCAGCACAGCTCACGCAGGTTCCATGACGTCCAGGCATGGCATGTCAATTAAGTCGGAAGGGTTTAATACCCTCAACTCGACGTGTCGGTGTGTCCGATTCGGAAAGGATATTGCTTTAATTGTAATTTGCCACCCATGTGTGAACCTTAACCAAGCTCTCTCAAAGCCAACGTTAATCCACAAAATTTCCCAAGAGCAAATCGTGGCATGCACAGGACATGAGGCTTATCACTCCAGTGAGCATTCGTGCTTGGGCCCTAAGAGACCACACCATAAAATTATTTTACCACAGCCCCAAAAAGTGCATTTGGGGGCTTCAATTAGCCTTTTTTAATTTGTGTTTTGATATTTCGAGTCAGTATTTTGGAGCCTCATTGGTTTTATGCTAATGAAAATGTCCGTTTTCACAAGCAAACTGCGATTTCATCCTAGGCGCTAAATCCCAATGTTATACTGATTTGTGCCAAAAAAAGGCTGGCATATCTTTGGTAGTTAATTGTTGTGGGCAAACTTATGTCGGAAATGTTTTAAAAAGGTGAATTTGAGATTCATATTCTGATCGAAAACATGTAAACTGAATAGGGTCTTCCCTGATTACATACAGCGCCCTCTCTTGCCCGGAAAAGCTTTGCCAATTTAAAGTGTTTCAAAAGTGCTGTTTTCAATACAATCAACCCCTAAAGAATTTCAAAAAGTTTTCGTATATTGAAAAACAAAAATCAAGATGTACAAAGAGTCCTCAAAAAATTCATTGGATGAATGTTCAATGTGACGATGTCGTATCCTTATACTGGGATATGACATTGTCACATTGAGAATATTAGTACATAATCAGTATATCCCATAAGAACATCCATAAATTAGGTCCAAGGACATGTAATACATTTCAGTCACTATTAAGTGTATATATGTTATTGCTGTTCTATTCTGTTTTCAGATGACATATTAGACAGCATCCGAACTGAGATGTTTTGAAAGAGTGCGTAACTCCACAGGCCAATTATGTTTTCAAATTAATTATTATGGCAAGGTATCGAATCTTAAAATCCTGACCCTGAGGTCGGCAAGTGTGAATAATATGGTATAAATATGACAGTGTGTGGTGGGATGTGCCCTGCTGAAAGCGTGAACTCAATTGCAGGCTGGCACTTGTTTTGAAATTTCCGTCTTACATCTGCGCCGTTATTCAAGCCTTCTTCGGCCGCCGACGCTTTAGGCATCGTTCTTAGCCCCCATTGTCTTCAGACCTCTCAACCCAACAAGCTTTTATTTCAGTGTTGCTGTTTATACCGACCGAGACCCTCTCCCCAACATTAGTGCAATGATCAACGAGAGAGGGGGTCTCGACGCCTATTGGTCTTAGCTTAGCTCAGCACAGACCATTGACTCTTCTCAGAGTGGTCGGGGGCCTGAGGGCAGAAGAAGGGGATTGCCTCCATACTTTCCTGTTGGCAGCTGATGGCAGCAGCTCTGGCATGGTCAGGTTTGGCCAGTCTTTGTTACGAACTCGTCCTATCCTTTGCCATCCTCCTATTCGCCAGCCTTCGACCGCTCTTTGCAAGATGGTTTTTGACAGGCTGCCGTGCTGCGTGTGGTGTCCGAACCATGCCAGCTTGCGTCGTTGATGGTAGCGAGGTCGTTCCTGGTGGCCCAATGGGTCTTTGACAGTGTTCATTTGTTGGTTTTAGGTTCGTTGTAGGAGATACCAAGCCATCCTCCGTGACTTACTTGGACAGAAAGGTCTGAGTTCTTCTTTCCGTCTCTTTTTAGAGTGTCCATGTCTCACACCCATAAATAGAGTAGAGTAGATACTATAAAGGTATCGTACAGTTTGAATTTGACTGGGGAGCTGGTGTTGCTCCGCCATATGCTGTTGAGTCTGGTCATCGCCGTGGTAGCTGGAGTGATCCTGTGGCTGGTTTCTGCTGTGCATATGCCACCTTTCGACAGGATTTTAAAGCTCGAGATCTCAAGAGGAGCTCCTTTCATGGTGATGTTGGCGTCGGTTTTCTTGGGCTATTTACCATAGTCTTTGACTTTTCAGAGCTTATTTCAGTGCAAGAAAGAGCGCTGGCTCTTGAGTCCAGTCTGTTGGTGAGGTCTTGCAGCTCATTGTTAATTCCGCCCGTTAAATCAATGTCATCTGCGAAACATAGGTTGCAGACGGACCTGCCACCGATGGAGACAGAAGTGTGGTGATTGTCAAGGGTCTCCAATGATTTTGGGAAGAACTACCCCATCCTGCCGTTCAGAAAGACAGCACTGATTGAGTGTACATAGAGGGCCTGGATAATTTGAACGAATCCTTCATCGATGTTGAATCCACTGAGGAATTTCCAGAGGCCTCTGTGCCAATTGCAAAACTGTGTCAAAATTGGGGAACAACTCCTTCTGATAGTGTAGATCTTTTCCAATGAGGACCGTATTCCACTGTGCTCTGCCCTGCTCAAAATCCTGTTTGTTCTTCTGATACAAGTTCCTCAGCCTTGGATTTCAGTCGGTTGAGGATGACTCAGAGTATGACTTTACTTGGGTTGCTGCAATAAACTGATGGTCCTGTAGTTTTGGCATTTCTTTAGGTTGCCCTTTTTGGTAGTGGAATCACCAACGAGTGTATTTAATCCTTTGGCCATTTCTTCTGCTCCCAGATTTCTTGACAAAGTTTTGCGAGGGCTTACATGTATATGGTTTTCTCCCTCTGTTTTTTGATCGATTCGTCTGGCACATTGTCCATGCCAAGTGATTTGCCTGTTTTCAAGCTTTTAACTGCTGTTTCAACCTCCTCCTTTAGAATTTGTAGATTGCCTTCAATTTCTGTGGGGGCGTGGTCAGTTTGGAGGATGGCAGTATCTAGGTGGAGGTCGTTTTACAGGCTGTTGCAATATTCTGTCCATCTCTTCATCACCTCTTCGTTGTCTGTTAATAGGTAACCATGTTGCCCACTGTGACGGTTGATCTTGGCTGACAGGATCTGTGAGGGCCTTGACAGTGTTATAAGATTCCAGCCATTAGTCGTAGTCACCATCAAATAATTTCACCTTGTCCACTCTACATAAAAAGGAGCTTTCCCCTTGGCAAAAGAGTGTGTTTCACGCAATTCCCTCTCTTTGACTCTGTCACTGGTCAAAGCTTTCTGAAATTGCCCTGTCTCGAAGTTGAAATTCAAGAATTCACCGATTTCTCTGATAACGGGGAATTCAAACAAGTTGAGTTTATTGGAGGTTCATTAAGCAACTGCTGATAACCTGGAGCTTGCCGGCACACTGTGTATTCAATAACGACTTTAGGACGGGATCAATTATATGCTATCATGCCGAAATCTAAAACTTCGCCACTTCTCACTTCACTCTTTGTCGTCACTTTGCCAAGAAATTCGGTGCGTCAGTGGGGGCGTCCTTCACTATTCACATAATTCACCCACAGAAATCATAAGTCGAATTACTGACGGACCATTAAATGGTCCGTGAATTACTAGAGGTGAAATTGCTGCGTTATGCACGAACAATTTGGAACCTCGCGGACGCCAACGAGTACGTATGAAACATTGATCTCTATTTGTCTTTCTAATGGAGATCAATTGTATGAAACGCACACAAGCGCATGAGACGTGATGAGACGTGTGGAAGACATCATAATGAGTGCTCACATGTGTCCATGGTTTCCGTTCGAGCAGAGGCACCCCCTCATCGGTTAAAAAGAGCCGCGTTGGTCGCGAGTGGTCATTTTGTTGGTAGCGATGAGACCGTGACGAGTGCATTTCCAAGTCGTTCGTGAACCAGCGAAGTTCAGTTCTGACCAAAGGAGCCTCCGTTGCTAAGAAACTAGCACCCTCTCTTGGTCCAGCTCGAGGCCCATTCGACAACCAGAGTTAGAAGCCTTACTGCGGTGGTGCAACGCTCATGGACGGGGCGCACGCGTACGCGTTACATTCTTCTTCAACGTATAGGGTAATGTGATGTGCCAAATGCACGCGCGTTTCAAGCCGAGGAATGTGCATGTGAGTGCGGTGCTGCCACAATTCGTCACCAACACCACGAATTGACACACATCTTCACTTTTGTGCCAGTTCGTGAAACCAGCAGTTTTGGTTTCACAAAGTGACACAAATGTGTGCACGCGCATACTGCACACTTTTGCATTATCGAACAATCTCCCTTTCACGAAGAATCACAAATGTGTGTTTTGTCAATATAGCATAAGAAAAAAGCTTTAAATGTCTTAAAGGATTTTATTTTACCCATAAATGGGTTACTAAACTGAAAAAATGCTCTTAAAACTTGTAACTGTGTAAATTAAGGAGAACGTCAATTTCTGAATACGGTAAATCACGGAGCACTTGACGCAAGACATTTGTGCCTCTTCATGAAAACGAAAATATCACATTTCTATAAAATACGCGTTGAAGCGCACACATCTATAGATTTGTGTTACTTCGTGGTGTTGGTGACGAATTATGCCGTCTAATCGGATTAGTCTATACGGGACACAGACGCACTACGCGGCCCAGGCTTGATAACGAATTTATCTTCAAGCAAACATTACGTGCAGCAAAGATGTTATAAGAGCATATACAAGCAAATGCGCCACCTTTGAATTTACAGTAAATAATGCAGTTGTGCGTTTTGCTTTGAGCGTAAAGATAGCGCATTGCGTTGAGTTAGAGTAGCGCATTACGCAGGGTTTGACATGGACCGTGCAAGCCACTTATATGTCACACTGTTTGTTGCCATGGATCGACCAATCAGAATTGAGAATTCAAGTTTGCTGGAAGATAAAATAGACAGCACTGCGTACAACGTTCTCCCCTCGCACGCTCCCTGACCCACTCTACCACTTTCTGTTACGTTTGTACTTATGCATCTCCAGATGTAGATAATATATTTTTCACTTCGAAATACTTTATCAAAATACATTTAATCAAACATGACTTGCGGCATTCCTGTTGCCTATATACGTACATTACCTCAAGACAACTGAAAAATAGTTGTGGTGTTGACAAACGCACGATATCTTCCAAACAGATATTATAGGAGAAATAACCAATTTGAAACAAACTAAACCTCGATGGCAAGGCCCTGGTTCTACATTTAAGTTAGTTCATTGATATTTCACCGAAATTGAATCATGTCAAAAAGAAGTCATTTGTACTTTTTTTTTCTCTCTTTACAGGGGGAAGTTAAGAGAAAGCACACACTGTGTGGGCCTTTACAAGCAATATAAACTGTGCAATTCGGAGGTACGTCTAAAGGTTTACTTGCAATAAAACCAAAACAGGTGCGGCGATTTGAAATACAAATCCAATGTAGATCTAGGGGTTTTTGTAATCTGATTTTAGCATTGCCACACATTTTGTAACTTTTCATTTTCTTAGTATATTAATGTCTTTTTCCGCATTTTATCATTTGTTTGGCTTTAGGCACGTATTACGTTGATATACCCTCCAAAATGTCTGTTACTAATGATTTAACATAATAATAAAGTATAAAATAGCTCCTCCAACGAGAAAGGACGATCCGTACTAGTACGTTTTAAAGTGTAACATTTAGGATGAGTTGCCTTAACACAATGGCGAAAACATCAATAACTTGAACAACGGCGAGATGTCATTTAAAGCTTAAAGTTTGTGCCAGCCATATCATAATCCACGTTTTGTTTTACACTTTGTTTTACTGTGATACCTTGTTTCTTACCAGCCATGTCCAGAAGACAAAGACTTCAGGCAGGAACAATGTGAAAGGTACAACGACGTTCCATTTATGGGAAAGCTTTATCAGTGGAAGACAATTGAAAAAGGTAAAAAAAAATCTTGTAAATGTATATTCCTCCTTTTTACAATCATCCAAACGGCCATCCAAAATTTCAAAATTCACAAATAAAAAAGAATGCAAATTTGTTTTAAATGCTTATATACTGAAAAAGTATTTAAATTTCAAGACTGCAAAGGTTTTCATTTTCACTTTTCATTTGCTGGAGTCTAACCACCTCTCTGGTATTAAAGGTCCTGGGTACGTTCTTTCATTTTTTTTACTTTGTTTTAAAACGAAAAACGAAAATTGGAAAACGCTCATTTTTTGTTTTTCAATTTGAAAAAGAAATAAAGCCGAAAAAGATGTAGTTCCTCGTTTTTTCATTCGAAAATGAAAAACGTATGGTGTACTATTTACGACAAACATTTTTCTCTCTCTCTAGCCTCCCTCCAGGCGATGCAACCAGACGACGCGACGGCACGACGGCTTCCTTGCGTCGTGCCGTCGGGTGGAACCGTCGCCTCCTTGCCATTTCGTTTGCACACACACGATGCGTCGCGTCGTGCGTAGCGTCGTGCCGTCGCCCGTCGCGTCGTACCGTCGCCCGTCGCGTCGTGCTGTCTTAGGTCCTTTCCTTGTTGCATTTTTTTCTGCCTAAACGTCGCCCTTCCGTCGCCCGTTGCGTTGTGCTGTCGTGTGTCGCGTCGTGTCGTGCATCGTGTCGCCTGAAGCACGACACGACACGACGCACGAGGCGACGCGTCGTGTGCTGTCGCCCGTTACTTCATGGTGTTTATAAAGGGCGCCTTTACTGTTGTCTTTCATTTCCGTCCACTTTCTTGCAAAGTACATGCAATTCGCTCTTTGTTGTTGATTGATCATTGTTTTTATCTCATCAATTCATTAATAGGGATTAATTTTAGTCATATGTTATTGAAAACACGATAAAAGAGCAAAAGAAAATACGAATAAATAGGAACTGCTCTTTCAAAATAAGTGGAAACCACAAGCTCAGAATTCGCCACTCCTTAATTTCCCAGCCAATGATTTATTTTGTTTTCTCTCATTTCCGTCCAACGCACTTGCAAAATACATGCCCTGAGCCGCAGGCGTGATTTTTTTCGGGGGGGGGGTTTCATCCGTTCATCAAAACGAATTAGTTTTGTCATATTTCATCAAAAAAAAATGAAAACGAGCAAAAAGAAAATCTGCGTATGTAGGTGCCCTCACATGTGTCAGCCCAGAATTCGTCACTTTTTAATTTACCCGGCTGATCCTTGTTCGAATGTCCGTCCACTTTCTTTTTAAGACCGTTGATGAAGTTCCTATTTGTGGTAGATAAATGTTTCTCTGTGGTCCATGCCAGCAGTTTCCAAGTAGTTCTCCCACTCCTCCAGACAATTTGTCTACAATTGTACGACTGCAAGTTTGACCACGGGCTTAGGTAGTTACCGTCCAGCCTGCACTATATTATTACCCTCAGAATATTCAGTCTTCCATCAGTTTAGTCTTTCTCGTGAACTTCATCAGCACCACACTTTCAATGATATTAGTCTGCCGGCGTGTTTCTTAATAAAACACTGCAGATCCTACTACCGTTGTGACTTTTCTGCCTCCCTGTTTGACCTCGTGTTTAATTTCTCATCAGATCCGCATGTTACGTTTTTGCAAGCACGTAATAACGATTGATGTATTGTATCTTAGAATGGATGTACAATAATTATTGGAAAAATCACAATTAGATCAGGAAAAGCTAAAACGTTGTGGTTGACGTTAATGTTATATATTTCCTGAAGACAATGCTGATTAGTCGCCAAGCTCTTTCTGATTACATTTGATTTAAAAAAAAAAGGAAGAGAGTTTACTTCAACAACTCACTCTTAATGAAAACACAAAGTTAGAAAGAATCCACTAAAAAGAACAACAGAATCAAGGCCTGGTACCTATGGCATGTACTGTACGAGCACGGGCCGGGGGAAGGAGATGAGGAAAACAGTAAAGGCGCCCTCTATAAACATCATGAAGCAAAGCGCGACAGCACACGACGCGTCGCGTCGTGTCGTGCGTCGCGTCGTGCTTCAGGCAACGTAATAGGCGACGTGATGCACGACACGATGTACGACGCGACGCACGACGGTACGATGCGACGGGCGACACACGATGCAACGTTTAGGCCGGAAAAAATGAAACATGGAAAATACCTGAGACAGCACGACGCAACGGGCGACAGCACGACGCGACGCGTCGTGTGTGTACAAACGTACTGGCAAGAAGGCGACGGTGCGACCCGACGGCACGACGCAAGGGAGCCGTCGTGCCGTCGCGTCGTCTGGTTGCGTCGCCTGGAGGGAGGCAAGAGAGAGAAAAAGTTTGTCGTAAATAGTACACCATAGAAAAGACAATGAATGAGTCTTATTTGGCACGTTGAAAACGCGTAAACAACAAACTAAAATTTGTTTTAAATTTCATTTCTAATGCAAATGCCACATTAGGGCCGATTCATAATAAAGAGGAATGTGAAAGCAAAGCGAATTTGACGTCATGAAAGATTTGCCGGGAAATTTCCCTTGAACTGAAATGCGTTCAACTTTTGCGAACTCGTAGCGCGAATATCTGATCTGAGGTCACAAATTCGTGTTCGGTTGTGCATGAATAATGAACTGACACATACATGTAGTTCGAAGTAGGCTGGTTACAACGATATCTATAAACCACAAATGTACGGGAGGTACCATTGGCTCCTGGCCGGTTCATACTTTCACGTGAATGCAAAAACAAACGTGAATTTTTGAGGGCAGATCAAATATTCGTGCTGCGAATTTACAAAAGTTGAACATAAAATTTCAACTCGAGCAAAATTTCGCTGCAAATCTTCTTGACGTCATATTCGCTTCGCTTTTACGTTCGCCTGTATTATGAATCGGCCTTTAAATAAAGTATGACATCAAGTCTATAGGAGCTGCAGTATGCCATGCGTCTGCTATTATTTTTGAACAGTCAGCGTAATACCAAGTGTGCAAAAGATGAAATCATTGCACGACGTGTCTTACATTACTAAAGGAAAATGGAATTTCTGTTCTAAAAGTGCATCGATAGACTAAGGTATTCTCGTTTTCACATCATGAATTTTTCTTTTTAAAATGTAAACCAAGAAACGACCTGATCATTTTTTTTTCATTTTTTCTATTTAAATCGAAAAATGAGAAACAACTCTTTTTTGAATTTTTTTACACACTGAAATACGCAGAAAAAACTTTTCCGTTTTCATTTTCATATCAAAAACCGAATGAACAAAACGTGAATGACCCTCCGAAAGAAATTGCTTTCGTGTTTGGTTTTGGAACATGCAAAGCAAGAAAGGAATTGATTGGTCCACGTTCCTCGTTTTCAAATGGAAAAACGCAAAAAGATTCCCTTTCCGTTTTTAGATACAAAAATGAATGAACGAAATGTACACGGCGAGACATGCACTGGAAGTAAATGTGTCATAGCGCCCTCTTACCCTTAAGTAGATCGTAATTTAAAAAAAAAAAACAAATGTCGATTTTATAACCGTTACACTATCACCAACTGCACGTGAGACATGGAAAGAGGGAATGAAACCGAAATATTGAGGATCTGGGCTCCTCAGTATTGAAAAAGTTTGTTGGTGGCGACTTATACGTCAAGGGTAGAGAACTTTAATAATACTGGTGGGCTTTTATTCAGAGAAAGGCAAAATGACTCTTAAAATCAAAGGGAACTTTATTTTTGCACCTTAATATGAAAATTGATGAATATCATAGTGTAACACAACTTTATTGCCTAACAATCATCGCAGGTGTGGATGATGGAATGATTGATCGATTGAGTCATATAAAATAATTTAACATATTGATAAATGTGAATTTTCAGTTGATTGAATTGTGGTTATTTAGTGTTTTCTAAGCCGTTTTGGTTCAACAAAACAGGTCACTACAGTACAGAAATTGCACAGCTTTTATGCTTCATATTAACAAAATGCTTCTCATAGTAAAGGAGTTAAGAGAGATCAAGCCTTTGTTTTTGAAGTGGATATCGTTTAGACCTTAAAACTGCCCAGGAATATCCAGTCATTTGATTATGATTAAAATTAATTGTATCTCTTTTCATATGACATACATACAGAACCTAATTTATGTGAGCTCAACTGCAAAGCCATTGGGTCCCGTTTTTTCGCCAAACTGGCTGATAAAGTAGTGGATGGCACTTTATGCAGAAATTCATCTAGAAAAGAAATCTGTGTGGATGGCATGTGCAAGGTAAAATAATTTTGAACATTGTTTTTATTAAACAGACTTAAAATACATCATTATAGTTTCATGTTCATAAATTTTTAATCTTTTTTTCTAGGTATGTTCATATTTTCAGTCAATGTGATTGATTCATTTTTTTCAAAGTGAAAGCTACATTGCAGGAATAAAGTTTTTAGTGGTTGTGTTGTCATCATCACTGTAGTAATGAAAAGAAGGCAGTTGTGCACTTTCGACATTTCAGATAGTGATTTTAGAAAAACCTGTCTGCTGCCCTCTTGCAGAAAGTTGTGGAAACTGTAAAGACATCCTGGCCTCCAAAATAAAAAAGAACAAAATCTGTCTGCAAAATCCCATGCCATTATGATATGATATGGTTATTCAAAATATTTCTTCTCTTTATTTCAAATTTCACATCAGTCTACAAAACAAGCTTTTGATACTAAAAAAGGGTTAGTATAGCACTGAGGAACGCTAGTTTGTCTGGTTGTGAATGTGTGTGGCATATGGCAGATCACCAACAGACCTCCTGGTTGAATGTGTCAATTCCTTTCCCAATCTTTGTTGACAGAATTCATCCATGTTTATAGGCACAGTAGGGATTTGCTTACATTGCACACTGACTACGATAAACAGGTCTAGCAAGTAGTATAGGCAGTAATTTCTAGGAATGTATACAGGTATGATTACACCACAATAACGTTGACTACATGCACTTACAGTAAGTATGCAGACAGTACCAGTACTGAGTTTATCCTGTTTGTTTTTGTGTGGCTAGTAACCATGATAAAGCCATATATAACCTTTACATTTCACAGCTGCTTAACAGCCTGCCAGAATTATATAAATACTCTAACCTCTTTGGACAAGTCATCCGAGAGGTAGCGGTGACTAGACATGGCCCTTGACATCTTTATGACCTGTCAGTAGTATTCTTGAGACCTGTCCTATTCTGATAAGACCCAACTGTGGAGGCTTGAAATTATCTTGTGGCAGCCTGTCAGTGTATCTGTCTGCCCTCAGCTGTAGAGTACAGGCTTATGGTGGAAAAGCTAGGTCTGTTTTTGAAAACCTTGAATAAAGGAGGATGATTTTGTTGGATTATGGTCTTTGAAACTGAAAAACCCTGTGCTTTCCATCTTAAGTTGTCTTGAATGTGCCTTAAAAACTGCCTGTTCCTGCGGATAAAGGATTCTTGCAATCAGCTGAGGCATGTTGGGTGATTTGGAGACACTGTCACATTTTTGAGTGAAAACGTTTCTCATACCGTAGAAACTAGGGGAAAGATGAACTCAGTTGGCCTCACCCTCTTCTGTGTGTTGATGCATGTACATGTATACTGTGTTACTTTAGTGTGGACATAGCCCTATTTAGCAAGGTTCTTGAAAGAGCCATGCATTAAACAAATTCAGCAGTGGCGTTTAACCCGGGTTGAGGAAGGGGGGCAATGGTCCCCTCTCTGGGAACTCTTGCCTCCCCACCCCCTTCCCCAAGGCAAGAAGAGCCTAGCTACACTACTGAGTGGAAATTTGTGGACTTCACTGTGAGTAGGGCATTGGGGGTAGGCACAGCATCGGATTTGACAACACATTGCTAAATAGATCCAAGCGGAGAGAAGCTGCAGCTGTACACTCTAGTACCCCAATATCCTGTGTAGATTGCGAATAATATTACAGCCCTTCCCATAAGCATGAATTTATCTCAAGCTGCAGAAGGGTTGTAACTTTAAATGGGCTTAGGATGAAATTTAGTTGGGCGTTTTCTGATACATCATTCCAACCTTTCTGTTCTACATTAAGCAGTTTTGGGGAGTTAGCATTGTTGATAAGGGGTCTGCTCATAAGTCCCACGCCTCAAAATTCTGACGCCTCATAAGTCCGACAAATGCATTTAAAAGTTCCAACGATTTTTTCGGCCCATAGCATAGATCCAACGCCTCAAAAAATCTGATGCCTCGAAAGTCCGACGTTTGATTTGACGCTCGTTACGAGCATTTGAAGACAGCACTAGCAACAAGCTTAAGACTGAAAGGTGTCAAGTATGGTGTACTATTTATGACACATACGAACATTTTTAAGATTTCAAAAGAATTGCAGTCGAAAAAATGCCTTTTATATTTAGGGAAGTATCATACATCATTCTTACACGTAGTGATATTTTGGATTAAAAAAGTACTGGACCAGTGTAGGAACAGTGCCAGTAGTCTGATTGATTATATAATAGAAATAAAATACTGAAAACTATTACAGTGTTAATGAAAATTATTCAGGGTTACTTGGTAGTATATATTGTGCACTGATGGGCTATTTTTGTTATAAAACGGTCTCTGCAAGCTAAAATATTAAATGGCATAGAAATGTGTCACAGTTGAACTGGGTGTTTACAACATACTAATGTACATGTACGAAAATCCAGTGTACTTTGATATTTCTCAGAAGCTAGGCTAACTGCCATACAACTTGGTAGCTTTCAAGTTTATTTTTTCCTCAATTTAGTACACATTTTGCCCATGCTTGATCTTCCCTTTTCAATTAACAATAAGCACACTCCATCTCAACCACTTACCCTGGATCAGCCTGTAGAGCTCCTCTGTCCTGCAACTGGGAAATTGGAACACCTGTTCTGGCAAATTGATGTGCCCTTTTGCATGCCCCTCTGTTGTCAGAGTTGTTTAGGCCTTGAGTTTGCAAGATGCAGTGGCCATGTGCAGACTCTTCAGTGGCATTGGGGGGGAGGGAAGTCCTCCCCCCTTTTCAGGAATTGGAAACACTAATACTTTCAAAATAAATGGTCACTACAAGTCTTGGGGTAACAAGGGGAATAGACCAGCGTGAGAGTAGACGTAGCCATGGTTCTGTAGCCTGTTTTGGACAAAGGCACAATGTTCCAACTAATCAAATTGCTCCTTTTCACCACAAACAAGTTGACAGTAAGGACAATGGAATGATCTTAATGTCTTTAGGAAGAATTCTTTGTCAAGCACATATTTGAAACAAGTTTAGACTTTTCCTCCCTCATATTCTTGCTCATTACTGCTAAAAAAATGACACTGACAAAAGTGAAGCAGAATTAACTGATAGACATGACCCAACAGCCAGGAGATTGAAATTTTGAGAAGAGCGTGATGGGATTATCATAAATAAAGGGCATCAAACCACTGAACAAGATCTTCCACTAGTTTCTGTTCCCCTATCTCTGTGTGCTGCTGGTTATGCGTACCAGCTCTTTCTGCTTGTTTGTGACACTATGGATGAAAACTCTTTTTGGTTCTGATAGGCCTACTGGCTATTTTGAGAGGGGATCACTTTACTGTCAGCAGCTGGTCTAATCATGTATCCAATCTGGCCCTCCTGAATGTCAATATTGAGAAATGAAAATAAATTTTGTAAATTTGATTAGAGATAGAAGGGGTCAATTTGGTGGAAAAGTTACTGCATTGGCAGCAGCAACGAGTTGGTCATCTGACATCAATAGCAAGGGCTGCGTGAAGTTTACCTGATCCCTCTCTCCCAGGAGTTCTCGGCATAGTTTGTCCACTCAGTGATTGCATCCCACCAAGTGTAGCTTGGGAAAGTTGGTTGGAATCAGTCAAGGGGGTCATAAAATTGCAATTACACCAGCTTACCACTTGCCAGGCACACATTAGCTGGGTAATTTGTTTTTGATACAGGATGGATTGTTGAGGCCAGGTTACCAAATATTAGCAACCATTAGCCTCTGCTGTAAAGTTTCTTCACTTTTGTGACAAGTCTCATCATATAACCTGACTTACAAGACAAACATTTCCGTCCAGGAAGTAAGAAGAATCAAGTATGAATAATTGCAATAAAAGACTTCTTCACTATTCTGGAAATTGTAGGGGCAAATTTTGAGCAAGGTCCATCCCATCCCAATGCATATTTACAATTCATGAGACTCTGTGGCATACCCACAGAACTGTACGGTCTGGTGTCCACCTCATTCCCACGTTCGGGTAACTATGGCAGTGGTCTGTAGTTCATACCTTTTCAAAATAAATTGTAAAAGTTACGAGATGAAAAACACTGTTGGTGAAAAGGACAAAAAAGCTGCCCCACACTCGTGCCCTTTTCTCTCAAGTCTAGGTCTTGCTCACTGTAAATCCTTCACAAATTCTCTTTTTGGAAAGCGCTGATGCATTCAGATCAGCTGCGCTTACCCTACCTGGGACTGTACAGTTAATCCATTGTGAGCCTGGTAGGGTTTTTCAGGCCAGGGTACATTTTTCCAAAAGTACCTTTAAGCTGCTATATGCAGCTGATAGGTTTTGTAGGTTTTTTTTTCTCAGTTGGGGTTCTAGGAAAAGACCGATCGTGAAGCCTGTTTGGCTCCCTGCAACATACTAGATTGACCGTGTCTTTGCATGCTTCAATGCAAAAATCTTCAAGCACTGAAAAAAATTTAGGTGATCTTAATTAGCTTTAGCAGGCTCAAAATATGATTGCCTTAAGGACAATTCCAATTGTTCATGGTGGTGAAGCGCTGAAGTCTACTTCGAGTTCAATGACCTGTAGGCTTCGGGCATCGGCTGAAAGTACTGAATAGCAGCATCAACCTTTGTCAAGAGAGTAGCATTTTCTGGTGTGTTTTCTTATACAATCAGAAATGTAGATTTAGTGTGACAAGTAAAGAAAAGCAGATGAAGTGAATTTTGGATACTGAGGACTGTGGGAATTCAAGTATGATTGCTTGGTAATTCACAAATTTGTAGCAATTGGTATTGCTAATGTTGTTACTGAGAGAGACTTTATAGTGGATCTGTTTCATTTACCTTCTGAAGGTTTTCTGACATATGGCCTAAGATATGTGTAAAAAAAAGAAGTTGTGAAACTCTTTGGTGTGGCTTTGTTTCATTGGCATTTTTCCTGTGCGAAAGAAAGAATTGCATTGTTTGCCTGTCAAGAATTTTACTCAGAAAGAAGATTCCCATTGTGTTACTCGAGGAGGTTACCCTGTCATGAACACTCGGGGAAATGTATTTATTCCTTTAC